ACTGGGCGAGAAGTCGCTGGTGTGCGCCATGAATCAGTTGGCGTCTAAAGAAGGTTGGAACCAGACGAGCGCAAGGACACTGAGTGCTTGCAGTTGGCAAATTGCGATGGAGGACGCAAGTAAAAAAGGCTTGCGTCAGGAGACGTGCCGGACTGGTACGAGCTCTGACGAGCAAGCAGCGACGAATTCACGTAACGTACCCGTTGTTCGGGACCGAGGCGAAGAACGAACGAGGACAGAGGACACAAAAAGTACCTGCTGCGCGGAAGGTACTGGATGAGCGGACGAACGGACGCGGTACACGGACAGAGTGTACGACACGAGTGGCACGGCGAAGTGAGTGCGTAGCACAGCACGTCAGGGTACGTGCAAGTTGATTGAAGGCTGCTCTTTTGCAGGGTAGGCACCCGAGGCGTAACGACCTAAGTGGCTTAGGGCAGCGTCGGCTACGGACTCAGGTGGAGTCGAGTGACTAGTGATACGGGAACGCTAGAGGTTCGGACCCATACGAACGAAAAAAGAACAGAAAACGAAACGCAAATTAATAAATAAGTCGTGCTGTCTTAGAGGCACACTGGCAACAGTTTGACCATTTAAAAAGTAAGAGTGGAGTACTTACATATATTTTGTCGCAGCGGGCCTCTGAAAAAGGTTGAAAACTTCCAAGGGAGGCTCTTTGGTCTTATGCTACATGTCGATCATCTCCAGGAGCATACTCGTGACGATATTACTGAAGCCAGTGTCTTTTTGAAAGTTTACAAAAGTGTAGTCAGCCCTTTTTCAGCAAATCAAACTTCGAAGTACGTCGAAGTACTTCGAAAGTAATTGAGTAGTATGTTTTTCTTCAGTTATCAGAAGGCGAGTGCTTAAGTCACGAGCACATTTTATCATTATTAACCCCTCCAAAGCGAGCGGATTTCGTTGCGCCTATTTACCGAAACCCCATACACGTTATGGATAGTGGGTTACAATAGTAAGACCCAGCTATATTTTATCGTGTATTTAACAGCGTCGGTACAGCGCCCCACCCCTAGGGTCTTCATTTCTCAATATCGTGTATCAGGTATACTACCATGTCTGCACTGTACGCGATAACGCTGATATCGTGTCCTGAGTGAACAAAGACAACACAACATTCGTACAAAAACACATCTAGCGGGGAGTGACGGGTCATATTTTTGTCGATATTTAGAGAGGGATTCCACATGGCGATCTGCACAAAAAACATATATTCAAATCAAGTTATTTTTGAAGCCGGAAGAAGTGCTCTGACGACGATCTCACTAGCTGCCGTCATCGTTGGTGTGTGGCCTCCATCCCGAACGACCCTGAGAGGAAACACTTCCGATTTCAGCCCTAGACTGCGACTCCGAGTCGCTGGCATCAGAGCCACCGTCACTTGCAGCGCGTGCGGGCTTCCGGGCTCGAATTTTGCGCTTGCGTCCTGATTGAGGGATCATAGTCCCATTTTTTCAGTGTTTATGCCAGATATCCCAGCACGAAGTAGGTTCGCCTTTGCTGCAATGCTCCACCTTGTTGCAGAGGAATACGCGGGCGGCTAACTCAAGTCTTGATGTTGTTTTCAGCTTACATTCAGCGCAGAAGAATGTCGTTTCCCCTCCTCGAGACGTGGCAGCGCCTTTTAGCACCGAATAAACCTTGCACGCACGCTGCCTACGCTTTCTCGTCTTATCTGAGTTTCCTTTGCGCCACTCGTCGGCCTGTACAGGCATGTGCGCAGCTCGAGCTTGTCGTGCCCGCGTTGGCGTCGCGTGATGCCCGCGGTGGCGAAGAAGCTGCACCCAATCTTCCGGTAGCAACTGACAGAGCTGTAGATGAAGCGTCTTCAGAAAAGTCACGTGGGAAACCCTTGGCTTCCCGATTGACGCGCGATTGTAATTGTGCACGATGAAAGCATTGATGATAGCCATGTCTATCAGTCCCAGAAAGAGAGATTTGTAGTACTTCTTGTAGCGCCGAGCCAATTGCAGTGAATACCTAATAATACGTGCAATACATGTTAAAACGATGACTTAAATGTGTATATACAGGATTTGAGTACTTGCCGTTGTAGACGCAGCTGGTCGTGAACGTCGACTCCGCCCATGTTAGTCTGATAGTCTTTGACGATCCGTGGACACATCAGCTCTGTCTGATCTCCAGCAACTGGATTCCTACGTACGATACGGTCTGGTACTGCACTTCCTCCAGCAGCAAGCAGATACACCGCTTGATTATCCCACCAACGGAGGCCTTGATCGATGGCACCTTTTGGAGGGTGGCTACATCATACGTTCCTTTGACGATGTGTGCTGGTCGCTTCTTTGATTCCTTCCTGCCGTTCATAGTCTTCTTTGGTAGAATTGCTTTGCACAGCCCCTTTCTGTTTGTCATTATTGTGCCCAAACTGTAGAAGTTCATGGTCAGCAGCTGCATAGCCAGCACGACAGAGGTGTAAAACCTGTCGGTGACTATGAGACGTCACTCAGTTGGTCCGTTGACGCCGAAGACTTGACGTAAGTTCCGTACGACTGCGGCAGGTCCCGATTTTTCATCACTGGGTGTGCTACTGTCTTGCATTTGTTGCTTTCCACAATAGACTTCAAACCTGTAATATACACAATAGTTCAAAAGGTTTTAGCACGCCGAAGACACGATAAGGTAACTTTGAAACCAAAAAAAGAGCGTGCCCGAAGGCACGCTCTTTTCCTTACCTGATGCAGTATGCAGACTTGGAACAGCACAGCATAAAAAGCTTTGTGCCCCAGCGATGGGGCTTGTCCTTCATGAAGATTTTCATCTTGTTGAACGGAGACGTGCATGGAAGCATCGCTTCGTCAAACGCCATTATTGGAGGTGGGATGAAACTAGCCTGAAATGTTTCTTGCAGCACGTCAATCACCGGGTGATAGAAGCGATCTCTAGTCATAAATGCGTTAAAACAGCCACGAGGAATAGCACCTTCATCTGTAGTCTTCCAATGGTTATCAAACCTCTCTTTGTTGGGAGCTATGGTTCTTGCAATAAGTAATCCAAGAAAAATAGCAATTTCTCGTCCTGAAAAGTCCTTCGTGTTCAGCAGCTTAGTCTTTATGATATCCGGAGTTGAGACATGGAAATCAGGCCTTTTCAGCTTCCTATCTAGCTGCTTGGCGTGTAGACTCTCCACTCGCGCGTCCAGGTTCTCCATAAAATAGTCGTTACTAGCACCCGCAATTCTTTCTAGTACGTACGGCGGGACGAACTGAAAAAATGCACCAATTGGGGTCTCGGCAGCGCTCAACGCTGCAGCGGTTGGTCCATGTTCACCGCGAAAGAGATCCGGATAGTCAATATTTGCCCAATCATCGCGACGCATGTCGTAGGGCTCATCCATGTATGGGTAAGGCGTCTGATTGTGTACTGAAGACCACCCGTTTTCCTTCATGTCGGCTAAAACATCAGCCTTGAGGTTGCCACGTGCAATCTCGTGAACACCACCTACTGCTTCAAGTAGAGACGCATCAAATGAAAGCTCAGGTGGGACGACATCTTCATCTTCAATGCTGGGATCAGGCTCAGCGAACTCCAGCTCCTCATCATCGTCGTACACAGAGAATCCTCCCCCCCCTCCTCGTCCGAATCAAGACTTGCAAAGACATACTTGTCATCGCCGGGCGTTACAATGTTAGGATCGTCTGTTAATAATATCCATGATAGTTGTTATTATCATGTATGTGTATCATGTATACATATGAATTGTATTTCGTGTACATACACGTTTGAACCTACCAAATAAAGACGAACAGGAAAACGCAGCGTTCGATGCCGCGTCCACGCGATCGCCGTCTGCGGACTGTTGCACATTTGTGGGGCTTTGCGGAGAGTCGTTAGAGTCATCTGACTCATCAGAAGACCCAAACGGCTCGTACAGATTGCGCTTTGAAGTGGTTGGCACAGCTGGAAAAATACAACGTTGAAAAGAGTTAGCTACAACACCTTTGAATTGTATGGATGGCACAGTAAACGTACCGGGTGTGTCTGGACTTGACGAAAATAAAGCATCGATATCGTCGTCAGCTTCATGCGGCGAAGTAGTAATTAGCGGTGCACTGGAGTGAGATTGCATTGGAGAGATGGGGTGCGTCTGTTGTCGTACTGGGGTGGTTGAGAGTGGCTCTTCACGCACTGTACTAACTGCATAATACACGATAGTGTTAGACAGGTACGGTGTAATGTACAGGCGTTGTAAAATATACCTGTTGGAGGTGTAGTAGCGTCATCAGGTGGAGTGGCTCCATCGTCTTGCCTCGAGGATGCGTGTGTGGCGTCGTCGGTCTATCGCTCATCTTCCTTTTGCCTCGCAAGCTCATCTATACACGCGTCAACGGTTAGGCTCAGGTTTTCAATACATCATTAGAATAAACAACTTACCAAGGTCTAGTCGATCCAAATACGACATCAGCTTCTTCTCCCCTATAAAGAAGTCTATTCCGCGCACGGCTGTCTTGTTTTTACCGGGCTTCAGATAGGTGTGATCATTTGAGAGGCCTGTAGGAGGCTTGGAAGACCAGGCTTCCTGCCGTAGTTCCTTCCACCGGGCCCAAAACCCCGACATCTGACTGGGAGCGGGAGTTTTCTGAAATGAGCGCCAAAATGAGTGGCGTTCAAAATCCCTGCAGTTTCTTATATTGATTTGGCGTGAACCACATATCGCTGAGTTTCCTCTAAACTTTTATTTTATGAAAAATTGTGCAATGCACCGCCTGCGCACACCGCACCAGGAAGGATGGGGATCAGGCTTCACATACCTATCCCTCTTTGGCTTAGCGTTTGTATGACCGTATACAAAAACAAGGTGAAAAGCTAGCAGATCATTCATGCACCATTTATCGTGTATTTAATACCCTGTATAATACACTGTATTATACAGGATAAGCCCTCCCTACGAAACGTGTATACCCTAATACAGGCCGTCGCTTTGGGGGGGTTAAAGAAGTACCTAAGTGTTGATATGTCCGTTAGTTGTCGTACACATGCACTGTTCCATCCGCAAGGGTCAACTTGCCCTGACCATTTAACGCGACGTGGTTGTTCTCCCACTGCCCCACAAAGCTCTCGCCATTAGCAAAGAAGCCTGAACCGGATCCGTGTCTCTTGCCATGCACCCACATGCCGTCGTACAAATCACCTCCAGCATATTTACAAATCCCACGACCGTGAGGTCGACCGCCCACACATTCACCAGTAAACTTACTGCCGTCTGGAAATACTATGGTCCATTCGCCATCCACGGGCTCATCGCGACACCACTGGCCTTCTTTGGCAACTCCCGAGCTTCCAATTGTAAGCACACCCGCTCCTTCACGACATCCACGGCGCCATTGGCCTTCATAGCGATCACCTTCAGTCGACGTGAAAGTCCCCTCCCCTGTCTGAAGATCATCTTTCCACTGTCCAGAATACCGTGATCCATCAGAGAAGACTGCATCGCCCAGACCTTCACGACACCCATCGCGCCATTCACCAGTGTACTGCTGTGTCTGCTGTGGAACAGTAGAATCCGACTGCAGTTCTGAAGCAGGAGCGATCAGCTTGCCGACGCCGTGTTTCTTGCCCTGAACGAACTCACCTTCGTAGATATTTCCCTCTGCATCAGTGTAGTTCCCTGTTCCGTGAAAAGAATTCCCTCTCCACTGACCACTGTACGTCTCTCGTCCACCGCTAATCACGCAGTGACCGTAGCCACAGCGCTCGTCGTTCTCCCAAGCTCCATCGTAAATGAAATCCCTGGAGCCTGAGGTCAGTACACCGCTACCATGACGCAGATCTTGCATCCATTGTCCTTCATAAGTGTTACCCGTTGCACGTTCAGTAAATATACCAAAGCCATTTCGATGCCCTTCTTTGAATTCCCCCTCGTACACGTCTCTATTCGGGTAGACGTAGCGATGTGTTCCAGTCATCGGATGCTGCATTTCTTCTCCACTATAAACTGACGAGCGTTTGGGTGATGACGGAGGCGTGTTGGACGACAGCGAGACATCTACAAACCGTGATGGGGACCGGACGGCCTTCACAAACACACTATGTTGCCACTCTCCCTCAAGTATCGTTCCGTCTGGGGTAATACAAACCCCTCGACCTTCACGAAGACCATCTACCCACTCGCCAGTGTAGGCGGCGCCATTGGCGAATTTACATGTGCCTTTCCCCCATGGTCTTCCACGACGACAAGAGCCTGAATATTTGTCTCCGTTAGCGAACGTTATAAGCCACTCCCCGTCGCTGACCTCCACTCCACGTTTCCACGTTCCCTCGCGAGTAGTCCCCGATGACTTGGAGAAAGAAACACCTTGACCGTGGCGTAAACCTTGCCACCATTGTCCTTCATATCGATCTCCTGATACCATCACATGGATGCCATTCCCGTGACGCTTTCCTTGATTAAACGCACCAGAATACTCGGATCCATCCTTGTACTTGCAAGAGCCGATCCCATGGAGCTTGCCTTCCATCCACTCGCCAACATACTGCACTACATCTCCATGCCTAGTCATCTCTGGACTCGCCACAGTTAACTTACCAGCGCCATGTCTTACACCATCGCACCACTCGCCGTCGTACACGTCACCTTCGCTGTTAACGTAAACACCTCGACCATGGAAGCGATTAGCACGCCACTGACCAGTATAGCTCTCCCCACCACCTGTACCTCCGCCTCCTCGTCGCGTACTGTGTCCTTGTCCGCAGCGCATGTCATGTACCCATTCGCCATCGTAGATGTATCCCCCACTCGCTCTAGAAGTCAGCATCCCTCTCCCATGTCGTTCGTCGTTCAGCCATGCTCCATCGTACTGATTCCCTGTTGAGCGCTCAATATAAACTCCATATCCTTCACGTTTACCTTCATAAAAATCGCCATCGTACTCGTCCCCATTCGGATACGTGAACGCGGCGTGTCCTTCATTAGGTGGCGGTCTGCGTGTTGAAGAAGTATCGCCAGAATTATTTCTAGTGAGTCTCCGCTGACGCAGCTCTTGGTCTATCCAGTTGGCATAGTTATTAGTAGATTGCCACGAGAGTGTCCAACTCCAGCCATAGTCAGCGCAAAAAGCCGAGCGTGGGTTAGCAGGTTCGTCGTCGTCCATGTACACCAAACTTCCAAGTACTGGAGCAGCAATTTCCTCAAGCATTGAGCGCAAGGACGCAGGAAACAAGTCACCCAACGCAGAGTTTTCCTCTGTCAGTCTGTCGCTTTCATTCTCACATTCTGTATGGAGATTAGCTGCCACTTCAGCGTCCAAAAGTTCCTCGAAATACGAACGACATTGAGCCAAGACCCACTCGTTATCACGACGACGCTGGCCTGCAATTGGCATGTGCATGGGAGCCACTGGGTCCGTAAAACGTCGCGTCAATCCGTCAGCCAACGCAGCAGTTTTCGTACCAAACGCGAAAGCACGTTCACTCGTGGCGGTCGGGTGTGCCGTCACCTCTCCAGCATCCAAATCCAGCACGAGATCAAGCTGCGCGTCCTCAGTCCTAAGTAGCAAAGGGTTATTTGTTCCCAGCAAGAATCCTCCACTACATTTAAGAATTTTCTCTCCTGACTTGAGGTCGCAGCATGGCTGTACGGTAAAAACCTCGTCTCGTTCTTGTAGCAAAGAGTGTGCCAGTTGCGACGGCAGCAGCGCCAGCAATGCCATCACCGCTGCCGACGCAGCACTCGCACTAGCCGAGTAGCACACCACTCTTCCCTGTAGTAACAAAGCATGCAGCGTCGCGACCACGTCGCCACCTCCAAGTCTTCGAGCCATCGCTCCATTGGGTAACAACCCACTCTCCATCTCTTGCTGCGTCTGAAGCGTCTTGTAGAGCTGCTCAATCGCCTCAAAGTCTCCGTCCTCCTTCTCTTCAGCGAAGAACTTGGCTGCAACTGCTCTCAATTGAGCGCGTAATCCTCCGAAACCCTCAAAGTTCTGCGTCTTATTAGGAGTCAGCAGCAGCATCAAGAACCGTTTTTTCGTGCTTTTCGCTGCTCGAATGTCTTCAGCTGCGATCCCTAGCACACGATGCTTAAGGTCTTCACGCATGGGTACGCAGAAGAACAAGGCGCCTCCTTTTGTATCGGCATCGGCCGCCTGCATCGCCCGACTGAAGAGCTCTTCGTCTTCCTGGTCGTCTACTGTTGACTCTGCAGCTTCAGCGACCTCGTCTTCGAGCCCGAAGCATAGACCACCGTCGGTTGAGGCGACGGACGATTCACTTGGTGATGCTAAGACATGTCCGCAGCGTATTAGCTGCTGTTCGCTTAACTCTGAGGCCTCCGAGTCTAATGGAGGGATGCAGAATTCAACGGAAGAGGATTGGGCAGCATTTTCGGCATCGTGAGAGCGAGATGTGGACGGAGGTTGGGATGACACACGCACGACACATAAAGAGAAAGATTGGGGCAGCCAGACATTCGGTAGCGAGCTGCTGGGGCGAGTAGGAAGCCGTGGGCGCTCGACGATGGAGCCATGATCTGTCATGTTTGGTGTGGTAATTTGTGATATAGATACGATGGATACACAGTTTAAGGTTTTGTGCACTTCAACATCCAATTTTTAGTCCAAAAAAGGCAACTTCCAAGAGCTCTGGAAGGTGCTGCATTATACTTGTTCATTGTCCGGTATTCAAAGTTTATGATGCAGACGGATGAAGAGAGCAGAATGTCTTTCGACATGTTCAACTGTGATAGTGACTTTAGTCGAGACTGTTACGCGTCGATGTCCACTCCACCACCACGGTCCCAGCCTCACAGTGAAGGTCTTGTACCACCCAGCAACTGGACAGTGCTGTCGTCGCTGCGTCATACAGCTCTTCTTGGAGAGCAGAAGGTCAATATGCGTCTACTTATTCGTGTACGCGACGTTAGAGTGCTGACTGGGGCTTCTGCGTTCGTGGCTGCACTTATGCTGCTCGTTGGAATCTTCACGCAAGGAGTGCCAGTCGGTTCTCGAGACTCAGTTGTATCGATCGACGAGCTCAACAAGTACAACTTTTACACGGGCACAATTGCAGCGATACTGGCCAAGCCATTCGAGATGGCACTCGCACTCTTCGTTCCGGTATTGAGTATGGTGATCTCGCCTCGGAACAGCCTGCAAAACGATTCGATGACATGGAGAGCTCTTCAGTTCTGTGCACAGGGCGCGTTGGTCGCGCTGCTTACCGGGGCTTTCAGCACTCTCAACGTGCAGCAGCTGGATCCGGAGGTGGTGCCTAGGATCGTCGCGTCCGACTTGTCGTCTACGTTTTCGACTGAATCGACTGTAACCAGTCATGACCTCGCATTTTCACTACGGCCTACGACTGAAACGCTGTTGCGCACTGCAATGCTCCCGGTGCATGTGAAGACAAGTGAAAGTGTTTGTCAGGGTCGTGGGGGCTGGCCAAACATTGCTACGACCTACGCTTTCTTCGCCAACGACTGGCTTGTGAACCTGCTTCCGACTGGTCGAGAATCCAAGTTCTCGCTGCACAAGAACGTCGGTGACACTTTCTCCGCATCAGCCGCCGACCGCAAGGATGGATCCAACACCAGCGCTTTTAACGCTACACTTTCAGGTAATCTGCTGCTGTACGCGATGCTCTTCTCACAGACGCTGTTGGCGTGGGAAGGGCTCTCATTTCTCGAGAACAGCTCGTTGGCTCAATTCCAACAAGAGATGAGCTCTTGGCGAGCATCGGAGACTGTTACGGAGGCCGATTTTCAACTAAGTGCGAGTGTCATGCTGCAGACGACGCTCCGGGAGCAGTCCTCGCGTCTCGGATTGGCGTTTGACACCGATGCAACCTCCTTCAACACGTCACATGTAGAGTTGTCTAACGACATTGCTTTTGATGCAGTCACGATTGAGATCCCATTCGACGAGCGGGCTATCGCTGGCCAGGGATCGGCAAGAGCACTAGATTCAGCGAGCTCAAATTCGTCACTTCTTCGCAGGCTCAGTTCTATTACTGAGTGTGGCGAGAAGGCATGTTTGATTCCGCCACCTGGAGATTCCTTCGCGGCCACAGCGACGCTGGGGGATACGACCTACACGCAGTGGAACGTCGAGCCCCAGATCCAGGCCTTTGCAGCCTGCACCTTTGAGGACGGTACTGAGTTCATGACCGTAGACTACCTACATGGCGCCAGCTGCACTCGTCGATCGTCAACGTCTTTCTTAGTCTACAGCTTTGGCCGTCGGGTGGTCGCAGACAATGTGACCGTCGATGCGTCGGGCTTCTCGCGCGTTGTGGAGGTAACGAGTATACTGCGCTATCACACGATTACACTCGGACGGCTGGCCTGGCGATCGAAAGATCTAGCTAACGACTTCAACGCCGCCTGTGACGATAATAGCACGTGCATGGGGATCAGCTTCCTACTCGAGAATGAATCTTCGTTGTCGTCTGCGAGATACCTGGTCGCTGGTGAAGAGCACCTCCCGGTCGAGTCGCTAGGCGAGTTCGATGGACTGTACTCGCGGTGGACCCCGCTAGCAATGGTGACGACACCAAACGACATGCAAGGAGATCTATTATTTCAACGGAATGTCCGCCACGGTCGCAACTGGGACCTCGACGGACAGTGCTCGACCAGCGTGGACGTGTTCGCCACACAAATGGAGCAGAATCACTGGTACATGAGTTACGGACTGCAAGAAGCCTATACAGCTGCGCTCTTCCTGCTCTTTCAGAACGCTGTCGTTCGAGAGGAGCGGCAGAGCGTCGACGGATCTCGAACGCTTAACTTCGATGGAAGTAGCACGCACGTGACACTGGAAGCACGGATTCCATTTCCGTCCGCTCTGATTTCCATTGTTGGCAGTGTCATCGTTCTAGCAGGTGCTCTATGCATCGCTGTAGCTGGGCGTCGTAACGAAGGCTCGATTCAGTGCGATCTAGGCGTGGAAGAGATCGCTAAGGTGCTGCTCGTGGAGCACCGTTACCCGAGGCTCTTTCTGGACTGCACACTGGACCACCCGGACGACCGTGTGCGTCGTCCGCTCCATGCTTTCCACATCAGCTCGCTTGTGCTGCGTCATGAGCCCCAGGGCCCAGCCCAGCAGTATGTTAGCAATGCAGGCGTCTTGATCGTGTATCCACCTCACGCTTGAATCTCTTGCCTGCCCATCGGGCAGCCCGATGGGTACTTAGTGCCGGTTCACTGAACCGTTCGTTCATCATTGCTTCAAGTTGAGTGTGGCTTCACATGTCAACAATTCGTTGACACAGTATTGAAAACATAGAACAACACGAGCACGAATGATATGTTCTACAAAAAGTAGAAGACCTCACCGCTTCATTGCTACATAAGGTGATGCCAAAAGAACCCAAAGCTTTCATACTGCATGTACAGTGGTTAAGGTGCTCGATTTGCGATTGCGCGCGCAGTTGGACAAAGACTGCGCTTCTCTCAAGTAGCGACGGCGAGTCAAGTCGTCAAATCTCGATCGACATGCCGTGCTTACGCTGCGCAGCGCCACTCACGAACATGATTCTCCATCTTTGCATTGTCGCCGAATCGGTGCTTTGGAGGCACCGGCTGGTGCTTTGAGTCAATTCACTGTCAGTTGTAGAGGCGACGCTACATGTATTATTGGAAAAGAAATCGCCACGAAATCTTTAATGAGATCGAATAAGACATTGGAACCTGTCCAGCCACCACCCCCAGAGTGTCGAAACTTCCATTTTCTCTAAGGCACACCAAGATGACTTGGCAGTCCACCCCTCACTAAGATTCGAACAAAAGACTGTCGCTTACAATCTCCAAGTGTAACAACTGGCCCGATTTCGTACTTAGCCGAACCTCCTCTCTTTCCCGCCGGCATGACAGAAGAGAATAGGCCGGCCACAGGTGAGGAGCTACAGCACACGCGCTCCTTCCGCCTAGCTGCCATGTCCAGCAGCGGCGACGCCATCACGACCGAGGACTATGGCAATGTGGCGCTGCTGTACGGGAAACTGGTGGCGCAGGTCTTCTCCACGCTCACGAGCGCGTTCGTGGGCACGCGTCACATCCTGCAGGTCGTGGCGCTAAAGAAGGAGATTCGCGCTAGACGCCAACTACAGACGCCCATGCTGGCAGCCGCTGATCACCGACGGCGTTATACAGGACGCAACTGTGATCCTGCGCCTCCTACAGTCTTGAATCTTTCGGACGGTGTGCCTCTTTCGAGTCAACAGAGCGGCCGCACCAGTGGCACACAGTCGAATGCGTCAGAGGAATACAGACGCAACCGCCAGGCCTCGTTTCTCGTAAGGGAAAGAGAGAATGCGCTTTACGCACCCATAGGCGGGCCAGATCTTACGACAAACGAGAGCGACGACGATCGCCCGCGAGTCTCCGTGGCGTCGAGGATTCTACGCGTTATGTGTATCACAGACTTCATCTTCTCCTTATCCGGCGCCGTCGTGACGGCTGTGGAGCTCTGGGCGCCCGCAGCTGGCAGTAGCTTCCAGCTTACGTTCTGGGCTCAAGCCCCACACTGGTGCTCCCAGGTCGCCAGTTTCTGCTGGGTCGCCACCTTGGCTTTATACATCGCCAAGCACAGGAACCGAGCGAGTTTCGACGTCGCAATCGCGCACGCAATTATCTGGATGGTCGTGGTGTTTTATTGGGTTCTAGAGCTCTATTCGAGCTACTACGAGACGAAAGGCTTCGTGAATGCCGCTAAAATCATCTGGAAAGTTATGGCAGTCGGCTGCTTCCTTATCATCACCTTCTGCTGGCTGAATTTCGCAAGACGGTGGATGAAACAGGAGCGACGCAAAGGCGCTTACGTGGTGTCCAAGCTGGCGTCCTATACGCTGGCGTTCTTCGTGTTCGTGGGGCCAATTGTAGTCACCGACTTGGCTCTTGGTCTACACAGTTCGGGCGACGTCATGGACACGTGTTCGGTGATTCTAGCCATGTGGCCCTTTGTGAACGCCGTCATTTACCTCACCAAGCCGACGCTGTGTCTTAAACTCTTCCAGTCCAAGCCAAGCCGAGGTCAACATGGACAATACGACTCCGCTGATGGACAAGGGAATGGCCTCAACCGACTGGGAAGTCGACGCTTTATGAGTGCCGGTAATGGGTCCGCAGGTACTGCGAACGGTATGGGAGGTGGCAATTCTGGTGACACAGGGCAGAAGCTGCTCATGTCGCCGTCGCATCACGAGCTTAAGGGCCTAGAAATCGGCGATAAGATCGGTGAAGGTGTGGCTGTGGTTTATCTCGGTAAGTGGCGTGGGGCTAACGTCGCAGTGAAGATGAAAGCGGTGCTGGCAGCGCTGGAGAGTGCAGCGGACCTTGCCGAGTTCCAGCACGCCTGTAACGTGGAGATCCAGGCCGAAGCTGAAGTCATGCGAGGCTTGTGTCACCCGAACATCGTGTTGTTTATGGAGGCTGGCTTCTATCGAGGCTCGATCTGTATTATTTCAGAGTACTGCGCTCGTGGATCGTTGCGAGATGTACTGAAACAACAAACGCCTGATGTTAAGAACCTGAATTGGCCAACGAAACTGCGTCTCGCACTGGGAATTTCCCATGGGATCCAGTATTTGCACAATGCCAACCCGCCTATGATCCACCGAGACTTGAAGTCTCCTAACGTACTGGTGGATGACTCGTGGCATGCCAAGATCGCGGATTTCGGTACACTTCGCTTCTCAGAGATTGTGTCATCGGCAGCACAACTGCAGTCGTCTCAGATCAACAAACCCAGGAGCTCAGCGAAGGTTCCTGTGGTGGAGATGACGGGACTGGTGGGTACTACGCGCTGGATGGCACCAGAAGTGATGCGAGGAGAGCGCATATACACGAGTAAAGTGGACATCTACAGTCTCGCACTTATCTTGTGGGAGCTGATCGAGGGCAAATTGCCGTTTGAGAACACGCGATGGAACCACGAGGTCGAGGACTTTGTGCTGAAAGGAGTTCGTCCTAATATCCGTGCGGATCTCTGTCCACTGCGTTGGAAGCTGCTGATTGTCACGTGTTGGCAAGCAGACCCGAGAGAACGACCGACTATCCAGCAGGTTATCAACAGTCTGCAGCGTATTGGACGTGAGGAAGTGTGGGACCCCACTGGGCCTCGGTTTACAGGCGTTAGTCAGCTGGGTACGTCGATGTCTTCTTCCATGTCGCAGTCCATGTCGTCGTCCTACCTCGAGTCGCCCCCTGCTGGGCCTATTGGACGCAACTTCAGTCGACATCCGGCTGCTCTGGACGAGAACCATGAGAACGAGTCGGACTCTGATGCGGAGAGCTTTGCAGAAGAGTTCTCGTACGTCCCAACGCTCGATTCGCTCGCGTCTCCGGCCATTCTGGGGGCGTCTGACGCTAGTTCCAAGAGCTCCAAGAGATCACGTTCGAGATCACGTCACGGCTCCATGGAGACGTCTGCTAGCAGTCGCTTGAGTTGTGTGAGCACAACGAGCAGTACTGTGAGTATGGGCGTCAACGACAGCGGCTACTTCGGCTCCAGTGGCCCTGGCAAGGACCCAAGCGCGAGTTCTATCAGTGTTGGCACTCTCCATGGCAGTACGAGTTCGTCAATCAGTGGTCGCTCTCTGGGGGGGACGCCCAAGATCAAGAAAAAGCGCCCCGAGTGGCGACGTCGCACCGACACCATCCAGGAGATGCAGCCGACGGATCTAATCAACGCGCCGCCGCACACGTTTGTCGAGTCTTCGCCGAATGGAACGCCATTCATCGTCAATATTTAAATATCCGGATCAGGGTGGATGTAAGGTATGAGGCCAGTGGCTGCTTGTTATGTGTGGCTCACTGTGTTTTGTTGCTGTGTTTCAATATGGGGTGCTTCCGTATTCACCGTTTTACCCCCCTAACGTGTTCGCTTCATTTCTTTTTCTTCTTGCCACCTCCTTTCTTGCCTTTCTTCTTGCCTTCAGCTTTACGTGCGCGATTGAGTTGCTGGAAGATCTCGCCAGGAAGTGACGCGTCCACCAAGAACGACTGGAGCTTCACGTTTTCCTAAGACATCGTAGAACATCATCAATAAAAAAACCAGAATCTCAGAGGTGAACCAGGACGTACCGGAGCAAGAGCAGGTAGCAGGACGTTGGCACCGTCGGGCTCGATCAAGTTGAAGGTGAAGTCCACGTGTGCCAGAGCTTTGCTTCGAACGAGAGCGTCACGGAAGGCTGCGAGTGCCTCGATGTTCTGCGAAAGATACAGCCCACGAGTCAGCGGATGCGTCGTGTTTCCTGCATGAACTAGCGTACATTCCGGATGCCGTTGTCCGACAAGTTCAGTGTGACGAGTCTCTGTGAACGCGCGAGGCCAAGCGAAAGGTGATGCAGACCTTCGCCTCCAACGTTGTTGCCATTCAGTGATAGCACTTCGATCGCACATGCTGGCAAACTTATCAGCTGCGCAAGTTTGATGCAACCGTTCGGTCCAACATTGCAATAATCGAGATGGAGTTGCTAAGCAATAGAAAGGTTAGAACGCTGCTACTAAACGCACAAAAGTTGACCAAAAACTCACCTTTAACGTTGTGTTGCTGAAAAGCCCGTCGATGAGCACGTTCACTCCAGCGTCACCGATTTCGAGATTGTAGTCGAGATTGAGCGTGAGCAGACCGGGGACTTTTTGTAGCGATAAGACGTCAGCTAACGCTTTGCATCCGTCCGCTCCGATCCCGCAGTCCAGTAGCTCGAGGTATGCTACGTTGACACTCGATGTAGCTTGCAACAGACTTGCCTTCAAGGGTTTATTAGCGACAGACTGAAGAGTACACGAAACGACAGACGTACAATTGCAGCGGCGCCTTCATTCCCGATCTCCTGCTTCCAGATACGAATATATCGGAGCTGAGTGTATGGACCACTGGAAAACCCTGGGCCAACGCCGTGAACACGATACCGTCAAGGAGAACAATCTGCCTTAGTTCAAAACTATGAGGCTAGGCATCAACTACATGCAGTGGGAAGGATATCATGATGGCTAACGTGAGTGCACGAACGCCGCCTGGACCGAGAGTTCCCACGTTTTCGCCTTCGAGAATGAGCTATAGCAAGCCAAAATAATTAAAGTATTTAGGCAGCTTAGCTATTCGTTGCTACTCACATTCACAAGGTCTCCGTCCTCCTCCTTGCCACGGAAAATCTCGTTTACGTGTGGATTCACCAGGACGCCAATAGCTCTAAGCAACTCCAATTAGCATCGTTTGCAGGGCCACTTTAAAGTTGCTGGAAGCCCCTCACTTGCAAGCTTTGCCATAGTTGGTCGCGACAATTTGCCGCGTCACGAGATTCTCGTCCACAACTGCCGCCTTGGGCTTCGGCTTGGCCTTCTTGCTCATGATTCAATTGAGTTCCAGAACGCACGAAGCGACGCCAACGACTGACTAGAATGTAGCCATATCTAGCGTCGCCAATGTCAACTTGATAGTCAACAGCAAAGAGTCTTCATGTTAATTAAATGTAAAACTGGATCTGGCTCAACAACTTTGTGAGCGCCATGCACTGCATGATGCAGAGGTTAATCGCCACAGGAGGTGACACCGTCGCTCCGTCCGACCCACACCAACCGTCAAAGCAGCTTTTATCTAATTCTCACAGGGCCTTTAGATCGAGAAAGATTTACTTTAACATATTTCTTTCAGACACACCTATATAATGTCATCGCATCCTATTACATAGTAAATGTTCCTTTCACAGGAAATCTTGTTTTTACCCTAGTTGAAGCTCATTCCAGTATTCGAAAAGCCCGATTCCCGAGACGTCACTTTTGTCCTCATGGCGCCTCCCGACGGCTGGACACCAGAGACCCCGGTGATCATCGCCGCCAACCGCCTACCTGTCCGCCTCTTCAGGACGTCGGACGGCCAATGGCACGTCGAATGGGCCGGAGACCGCATGATCGAGTCGCAGAACACGCTGTCCCACTACGAGATCTCGGAGCGCGCCACCATCAAGTTCGTCGGCCGTGTAGTCGACGCGGACGTGCCATTCGAAGAGCGACAGCAAGTCGAGCTTTTACTACGCGAATTCAACTGCTTTCCAGTGTTTCTCGAGCCCCAAGAAGCCAAATTGTACTACGAAGATTACTGCAAACAAACACTCTGGCCAACATTCCACAACGTCGTGGACGTTTACAGTCCCGTGGACGTAGTCCTCGATGTCCAAGCGCAGCAACATTTAACACCCAGCGCTCAGTTCTGGAATCCTAATTGGCAGAAAGTGGCGTGGCAAGCTTATGCCAATGTGAACCAGTTGTTCGCACACAAAATATGTGAATTGTACGAACAGGGAGACGTCGTGTGGGTGCAGGATTATCACTTGCTATTAACACCGAGTTATATCGTACGGAAACTCAGAGCTGCCAACGTAGGACTGTTCCTACACGTCCCGTTTCCGTCTTCCGAGGTGTTTAGAACCGTTTCTATGAGGAAGGAACTGCTACGAGGCATGCTCAATGCCGACCATATCGGCTTCCACCTGTTCGAGTATGCTCGACACTTCATGTCGGCCTGTCGACGTATCTTGGGACTGAGTTACGAGCCGATATTGAGGGGACAGCTGGGGATTGACTATGGCGGACGACGCGTTGCTGTCACCTGTAGCCACATGGCTATCGACGTTCAGAGGATCGAGGAGACTTTAGTCAGTAAAGATGTGCGTGATATGGTGGTGGCTTTACGTCAGAAATACCGGGACAAGAAGATCTTTGCTGGCTGTGATAGCATCGAGCGACTGAAAGGCATTCCGTCCAAGATGTTGGCATTTGACGGCTTCCTCTCGAGATGTCCGGACTTTATCGGGAAGGCTGTGCTGGTGCAGAAAGGAATCCACAGACGTGGTCGCGTGACGGATTATTTGCAGAGCAAGAAGGAGATTGAGCTGGCGGTCAAAGCGATTAACAGCAAGTATCGCGATGTGGCTAAGGGGAATGTAGTCGACTATGAAGAAGTGGAGGAATTTCCATTT